GCTCATTATAAGTGGCTTGCTTTTTAGGCAAGTTTGTAAACAGTGAGCAGGGGACTTCCAGTTCAGTCTAGGGTCTGGAAAGCTGGAAAGAGTGTCACTCCCAGTGTAACAACAAGAGAAGCCTGGATAATCTGTAGAATCATTACTTAAAAAAAAATTTTCAGCGATCTGAGGTTACAGTGCAATCAACTAGCTTGAAATCCAAGGGAAAAACAGGTACCACCAAGGAGAGACTGGATAGGAGAGCTGGTTCATCTGAACATAGGAAGAAGAAAGGATTGCCATATAAGTGGGTAAGGAAAATCCGACAAACTGCTAAAAGCCTAGTGGGGGCTAACAAGAAAGTATAGAACCCATGGGATTTACAGATCCTCTTTATGGACCTTGACCAGGGCCTGATGCGGAAGACGGGGAGCAGGGGAGGAGCCGGACAGGGGGAAAGCCACCCTGGTGATGCAGCATTGGAGGAGGGAAGTATCTTCTGCCGTGAAAGAAGAATGAAGTCCTGCCTGGTTTATTTTCCTTAAGTAGCAAAAGCCTTAAACTGCTGAGGGAACAGCATTAGATCTTATCCTAAGGGCTCAGAAGAAGACCCACGGCAGCCGGGGGAAAATAAAAATAACTTTAAAACACCACTGCTATGCCCGGGGCAGGGGCAGGAAATCAAGGGTAGATTATCAGAATTCTCCTACCACTGGAGATGAGGCAGTATCACTAAAAAGGCCCAAACCCAAGGACACAAGGCCCACTACGGAAGCTGAACCAAGAGAACCCTCTGCCTATATCCTTCCATCCACCATCATCAAGGCTGAGAAGCACCAAGTAACAGGCAATAATAATCTACCACTAGGGAAGGAGTAAGAGCATAGAGAGACTCTGAAATGCGGATGTATGGTGAAGGCCTAAAGTTAGGGGTGGAACAGTGCAGTTGGGGAAAATCCTCCAGCATCTCAGTCCCCACCAGAGTGCAAAGTACACTGAAGGAATTTGAAGTTGGTGATGCACTGAAGGTAACCATAGCAACAACAGAATTCAAGCTCAGATCAGCCCTTTCTCAACCTCCCTCTGTCATGACCACCCACACGAATGGCCTAGCAGAAGAAATGTGTCCATCACCAGGCATAAATACTGCTTACCTCAGTCTCTACAGTTTTTTACATCCAGTATTCAGTCAAAGGTTACAAGACACACAAAAAGAAGTAAAAAATATCCTGCTGTCAAGAAACAAGGGGAAACAAACCAGACTCAGAGATGACCCCTATTTTGGAACTGCCAGACAAAGGATTTAAAATAACTGTGGTTAATATGTTAAAGCCTCTAGTAGAAAAGGTGAATAAATTAATACAGAATTTTAGCAGAGAGAAACTGTAAAAGAGTCGATTAAAAATGCTTGAAGTTTAAAAAAAAAAAACCCACAGCAACAAGAGAAGAATGCCTTCAACAAACTCATCAGTATACTCAATACATCTGAGGGGAAAAAAAAAATCAGTAACCTTGAAGACTGATTTCAGTTCTGCTAATTTTTACTAACCTAAGAGGGTGGAAGTGGGGTGGGATTAAAAACAAACAAACAGAGCATCCAAGAGCTGTGGGGCAATATCAGATGGTCTACTATACATCTAGTTGGAATCCCAGAAGGGACATGGAACATTTGCCAAAATAGACCATATTCTGGGCCATAAAATAAATGTCAATAAATTTAAAAGAATAAGAATCATGAACAGAATGTTCTCTGGCCATAACAGAATTAAATTAGAAATTAATAATAGAAAAATCTGGAAAATCCACAAGTATTTGGAAATTAAATACATTTCTGAATAACCTACGAGTCATAGTGGAACTCACAAAGGAAGTAGGAAATATTTTGAATCGAACGAAAATGAAACAGCACATATGGGATGCAGCTAAAGCAGTGCTTAGAAGGAAATTTATGGCATTACATGTTATATTACAATAGAAAAAGTGTCTCAATTTTATAATTTAAGCTTCCATCTTAAACCAGGAAAAGAAGAGCAAACCAAGTCTAAAGCAAGTAGGAGGAAGGAAACTTTCAAAGAGCAGAAATGAGTGAAACTGAAAATAATGAAACCAATGAAAAGATCAAAATTGGTAAGTCTCTAGGCAGAGTAACCAAGGAAAAAGAACACAAATTACCATATCAGAAATAAAAATGGACATGTCAGGACAAGTCCAAAAGACAGTAAAGTGTAATAATGGGATGTTATAAACAACTCTACTTTCATATATTTGACAATTTAAGTGAAGCTAATTCCTTGAAAGACAAGCATTACCACAGTTCACTGAAAAAGAAACAGATAACCTTAATAGTCTTATATCTGTTAAAGAGACTGAATTTATTGTTAGGAACCTTCTGACAAATCTCCAGACCTAGGATGCTTCACTGGTGTGCTCTACCAAATGAACAAACAATACCAATTCTATACTTCCAGAAAATAGAAGAGGAAGGAATACCTCCCACCTTGTTTTATAAGGCCAGCATTACCCTGATAGCAAAGACATGACAGAAAGGAAAACAGGAAAAAAATTAAAAACCACACCAGTATCCCTCATGAATATAGATCAAAAGTCCTCAGTAAAATATTAGTAAATGAAATCCAGCAGTAAGTAAAAAGGATAATACATCATGACCAAGTAGTGTTTACCCAGGGAATTCAAGGCTGATTCATCAACATTCAAGTATCAATCAACATAATTCAGTGTATCATCAGACTAAAGAAGAAAAATATTTGACCATTCTAGTAGATGCAGAAAAAGAACTGACAAAACTTCGTATCTGTTTATGATAAAAGTGCTTAGCAAACTAGGAGTTGAAGGTGACCGCCTCCTTGAAAAACCTAGTGTTAACATCGTATTTCATGGTAAAAATACTAGAATGCTTTCCCCTAAGATTGGTAACAGGCGGGCTTTCCCTGGTGGCGCAGTGGTTGGGAGTCCGCCTGCCAATGGCAGGGGACATGGGTTCGTGCCCTGTCTGGGAGGATCCCACATGCCACGGAGCGGCTGGGCCCGTGCGCCGTGGCCGTTGAGCCTGCGCATCCGGAGCCTGTGCAAAAGATAGGCAAGGGTGTTTGCCCTCATCACTCCTAGTCAGCATCATGCTGGAGCTCCTAGCTAGTGCAGTGAGGCAAGAAAAAGTAGAAAAAGGTATAAAGAATTATCAAGAGGTTTCAGTAACTACCATGAGAAAGATGAAACCATTTTTAGGTGTTATCTTAAAAGCAATGTTTATCTGCAGTTCCTTTGTCTACTCTTAGCTTGCAACCTTTGAATGGAATTATAAATTTTCCTAACATGGCTGCTGACCAACCTAATAAGTATCATACATCTTAAGTGGTGTAATCTTTTTTATTTATCTGTATGGAATACTTGATTTTAAAATGAAGAATAGGAAGGCTAGAATTTATTAAATGAATATCACACAGTCTCTTACTACATAAAGAAAAAATTATCTCATTTAAAGGGAGTGTTTTATCTCACAGTAAATTATATTTGCAGTTAGTTAGTTCCATCAGACTAGTGTATTATAATTTGTAAAACTTACAGATAATTAGTTTTGAGTATATTTAAAGCATCCCAATCTTATTTGAGGAATAATGTGTCCACTTTCTGAGGGGCAGATCCACAAACTATTTGCTGAAACATGCATTAATGGAAAGTATAAAACTGAAAGTAATGAGAACACAGTTGAAACTACAGAAAAACTGAATTTGACAATAAAACTTACTGTAAAATGTAATATAAAAGGCCAGTCAGTTGGCAGTGATTTTGAAAATAAACCTCACTTAGCCAGTGTTTATCAGGAGCAAAGGGAGAGAAGAAATAGTCTGAACACTGTGTGCCAGCCTGTTCCCCTTCTGCAGAGAACAAGTACCGGCCCCACCCAAAAGCCCTATCCCTTGGCATTGCTGCAGCAACACAAATTAGGTTGCTCTGTCTCTGGATGCTCCTGTGACCAGTAGCCTGTGTGGGAGAGCCACTTCACAGCTTTCCCTATTGAACACAGGTCAGGTCTCCACCTTTAATTTCAACTCAACATTTTATTCTCCAGTCTGCTCTAAAACTCATGGAAGCAATCCATTGTTTATTAAGTGCTATGCATACTTTATGTTTTCTATATTTGATATGATTTTTGTTGGTTTTTAGGCATTTTTAACTCTGATAAACAGCATTTGTAATGAAGAATGTCACTGCAACCTCTTTCCATTAAAAAAAAGTATTCATATAGATGGAATCCAGTTATGAGCCTCAACCTAATGAGTCTGTAGTAAAATGAGTTCCTTTAGCCATCAATATTGCAATAAAATTATTAACATAATGAACATTCTTGACATTTTATTGTAAATAGACAATACAAAGTCAATAATTTGTAAACAGATCTGCGTTTGAATCCTAGCATTGTGATTTTTCTGTGTAGCCTAGAATAAGTTACTCAAGCTCTCTCAAGTATATTCTTCCATCTATGAAGATAATAGCCTTGTGGGTTATTGATGTTAATATTTATAACGTGTCTGGCACATAGATTGTGCTCATAAATCATAGTAGCTATCGTTGTTCTTGGTAGTTATTATTACAAGTTAGCATTTGTAAACTTCATATTTGTATTCTGTGGTTTAAAAAATATTCTGCCTATAAAATTGGTGCTTTATAGCATGTTGTAAACGAGTTACGAACAGTTGACAAATACTATAGTGTAGTGGTTAAGAACATAGACTCCAGATTCAAATCTCAGCGGCACAACTTACTACCAGGCTGACCATGGGCAAGTTACTTAAATCCTTTGTGCGTCACTTTCCTCAGCTTTAAGACAGACCTAACAGTAGCACATTTCTCCCAGGAGCATTATGAAGATTTATTAATCAGTTTTAGGTGTGTAAAAAGTTTAGAACAGTTGTTGACATGTAGTTCTGTGTGTCAGCTGTCATCCGTATTATTATTAATTTGTTGTTGAGTAAATGATTTTTTGTCACTTTTTATTTCAGGTGAATCTTGGAAGCAACCAGTACCTTTTCTCTGTCATAGTGGATCCTAAAGAAATGCCCTGCTTCTGTCTGCGCCATGATGTTGATGCCCTTCTCTGGCAACCACACTCTGGCAACCAAGACGATATGTGGGAGCATATCGCAACTTTCAATGCTTTAGGTATAAGCAAGCTCTTTGACAACTTTTTCCTTTATATTGAAAATCAGTCAATTCTTTTTAAGTTTTTGGGTTTGTTTAAATTTGAGCTGTCCTAAGCATGCTTGGATTGATTTGTGCTATAATTTGGTTGCTTGCACATAGTTGATGAATGTTAGTACTTTTGGAACAGTAGGACTAATTTGTTTTTATGCTTGTGCAGAAGATCAGCACAGAATAGAAATCAAAGTGGTTATCTAACTGCATGAATCATTCTAATCAGTTATTTGCTTATTCCAACTAAGCTATACAATATCAGAATATGAACAAGGGGCTTGACAGTACCCTACATGGAACTTGTATTCAGGTTTCTTCAGAGTAGTCTTCGGTAATCATGGAATTGCTCTAAGGTAAAGCACATTATGAGACATCTTTCATGGAACTTATGTGAAAAACAGCCATTATAATGAAAACACTTAGGGAAGATGATGATAAGCAGAAATGAAATTTATTCTGTAGGATAAAAGGGAAAATACTGGTTTTAAAACTAGAGCTTGAAACATTTTGAGCTACATAATTGTAGACTTACGCAATAATTGATTTAATGATAAAATAATACATTAGTATTGTGTGGGAGAAATTTTTTATATGAATTGACCACAGCTATTGCTTTATTGAAAGGTTATTTTAAACTGCCAGCAGGAAGTAAAATTATGCATTGTGATTGCTGTATATGTACAACCCTAATTGTAGAGATTTTTTTCAATTATCCCTTATAGTTAATAATATGGGCTGTTAAACTGGTAATTCAGACTCCAAATGGATTTTTGTGACCTGAAATAAAGTTTGAATAATTTAGCCACATAATTTCTAGTTCTACTAAAATTCCTGATTTTTTATTCTATTTTTTTCAGTAAGAGGGAAAGCTTTATCTTAATTTTCAGATATTCCTTTTGTATCCCTAAATCCCCTAGTATAATGGAATTCTATTATGCTTGAGTTTAAGTTAAATCAACATTACATTAGATGTGTAGTCTTGAGATGTTATATACATTATTTCGTCAAGATTAGCCTGGAGAGCTAAATCTAGGCTCTCAAATAGGTGTCTGTGTCCTTTCTAATTTTTCCTCCTCAAGCCCTGGCTTAATATTAAAAAACCAGCATTGATCTGCCTGTGCTCAGTGGTTCCTTTGCTCATTCATTGTTTGATGAGGTCTCAATTTACATTAGTGTTATATTTCCTCTCTCACATGTTATAATGTTCAGTAATCATGTCCCAATCTGAAGATTCTAGTTTTTATTTCAGAACATAAATGCTCTTTTAGACTATAAAGATAATTTTTAAAAAGATTATTTCAAAGTTTAATTAGTTTTCAAGGGATATCCCAATGGAATTTTTTAAAATAGATACTTGAATTTTCTTTGAATTTGTAGTGGTCTCAAGGCTCTGCTTTCTTCTGAGAGGTGAAGTACAAATCCTGTTACAGTGTTGGTATTTGTGTATAAAAATACCACTAACATTACAGAAATAATGGGAATGCACTGTGCATATTAGTACCTTTGGGGATGGGGTCTGCATTGTAACACACTCCTAAAATAACTTTGTAATACATCCTATAAACATTTTCCCATTTATTTGATAAGAAGATGCTGTAATGCCACATCTCTGATTGATGTACTCTATTATTTAAAGATATTTTGGCATGTTTTTAGTGTGTTAGATTTTTAATGTTTTAATTATTCATGGAAATTATATAGGAACTATATTGTGCTTTTTTTTGAAGGGATGAAACACTATTTTGTTCCTTAGGAATTAATGCTTTAATTTTGCACCATTTGGGAGAGACTGATTGTGGCTAGTCATTAATGGCTCAGAATTTAACCACTGTTGAGTATCTATGATATATATTTTTATTTAATCCTTTCAATTTATAATAAGATTTATGAACTATTAAATGTTAAGTCACTGTTTTTCCCCTTCTGTTTAATATATAGTTTTTCTCTTTTTTTTGTCTCATATTTCTTGGCAGGCTACGTCCAAGCATCAAAGAGAGACAAAAAATTTTTTGCCTGTGCTCCAAATTACTCTTACGCAGCCCTTTGCGAGTGCCTTCGACGAGTTTTCATCTATCGTCAGCCCACTCCCATGTCCACTGTACTTTACAATAGGAAGGAAGGCAGGCAAGTAGGGCAGGTTGCTAAGCAGCAAGTAGCAAGCCTAGAAACCAGTGATCCTATTTTAGGCTTTCAAGCAACAAATGAGAGATTATTTGTTCTCACTACCAAAAACCTCTTTTTAATAAAGGTAAATACAGAGAATTAATTACTCCAACATGTTGGCTTCTCTGTACTGGAAAAGTATTCAGTGGTAGCCGGAAGGCTGGGCAGTTGTGCTGTAATCTGTTAAGTTTTTATTGTGTTAAAATTATCTTGTATGAATTTATTTTTTAAAGGATATTGGAAATATATTCGAGATTATGAGTCTATAAAAGCTATGGAATGAAGCTGCAAATTTAGAGAAAATTAGCTTCTGTAAAAAATGTAAAGATAGTATTAGCAAGTATAATTAATTTTTTAAAAACAGGCTAGAATCTCATCTTTTATATGAAAGATGTACAATTCATGTTTAAATAAAAATATTTATCATGTATTCTTTGTTCACTGATACAGTTTCTACTTCTTTACCTATAGAATGTATAGGATAATGGTTAAAGTGTTGATTCTTGTAAATACTTTTTAAATGGACTGAATAGCTGGGGTAGAGGGAGAAGTATAACAGGTACAGCAGGTCTAGTACTGTTAAAGTTTGCTGAGAGACCTTAAGTGTTTTTTCATATTAAATATAACTTTATTTAACTTTTATCCATTTGGTCTTCCACAGACATAAATAAAGAGAGATGATAAGGTTCTACGAAGTGTAGCTCTTATCCATTGCCATATAACAAACCACTCCAAAACTCAGTGGCTTAAAACAGGATGTTTTATAATTTTTCATGGTTCATTGACTTGACTGTCTCTGGTCTGCATGGCCTTTCCTCCTCCAGTAGGCTAGACCGTGTTTCTTCCCATGACAGAAAAAAACATTACAAGAGGGCAAGCCCTAATATACAAGAGTTTATCAAGCCTGCACTTGCATCATATTTGCTCATCTTCCATTGAACAAAGCAATTCTAGAGTCAGTGTGAGAGTGGAGTACACAAGGATACAGATAGCAGGTGGTATGATTCACTGGGAGCCATTTATGTAGCAGTCTACCATACAAATTATAATTCATCCTGGTAGTTCTCCTTACATTTCTACAGTTAAGAAAAAAGTAATCCTGTTTGTTTATACATTAAATATGTTTTGCCATGAATTTTAGCTTCTTATATTATTTCCTTGGATTTCTTTTGGTGTGCTTTTACCTGGAAAATTGTTTACTTTTATACCATTTTTGTATACTTCTTATATATACTTCATGTTAAATTTTATATTATAATAGGGGAATTGAGACTTTAATATAAGAGGCAGAAAATGAAGAAAAGAGTACAAGATAGGAAACATTTGTTCCTAACATATCTCTTGCCTATCTAGACAAGGGTTTGGCTGAATTAAATTTTAGTGAAAGAAGGAAAAATAAGTTTGAGAGACAGAAAAGGAGGAAAAAGATGGGGATTACATGCATGTTCTAAACACTATGTCAGAAAGCGGTTTCCTGGAGAGAAGTATTGGGACGCTAGATAAAAAGTTGGGAAAAGTCCTGAGAACTGGTAGTGACAGTGGAGTCCTAATGGAACTCTGTTAGTACTAGGAAAGAGGACTAGAGAGCTATCAAGCATCAAGAGATCATGAACACAGAAAAAAAAAAAAAAGTATGGCTGAACCAAAAAACAAAACAGTGATATTTGCAGAACTTTTTAGTGTCATTGTAAAATTTAATGAAACAAGACTATTTTGACAGTGAACTATTAAAAGCCTTTGTTATGTGATAGTACATTTACATTTTCTTTAAAATTTACCTCAGAGATCATAAATACCCTCTTAGGGAATTTAAGAAAAATACAGATTAATGTGGTGCTTAATTAACCATATGACAATATATATATGCAAATTTACATATGGTAATTTCTTTCCTTTGTATATGTGATTTTTAACATGATTAATGTTGAATTGAAACCTATCAGGATAACTAGTCCTAAATATTTTTGCATATTGATCTATGTTAAGAGAGTAACAGGTCTAGAGCAGTGATTCCAAGTAATGTTTTCTTGAAATGTTTCAAGGATCCCACAAATATTTAACTCAGTTTGAATAATGTTCTAAAGAGATATATACAAGTGCTATGAACGTAGTACCTTGTGTTTTGTTGATTTTTTTATCATAAATTATAAATGGGAATTTATAAAACATTTATGATAGTAATAAATAGTATTTTGTGTTTTTCATATGGAGTCATTTAACAATATTCATTATATCAACGTTTAGTAAGCATCAGCTATGTACCATAACATATTTTCAGGGCTAATGATAATACAGTGTTAAGTTAAAGACAGATATTCTAGTGGTTTCCAGGTGAATTTTCTCTTTGAGTAAAGAAGTAGGTGGGGGGTAGGTGGAGTTGCTCTATTAGAAAGACATTTAACCAGGTCTGGAACCCATATGAGAACAAACAAAAGAGTTGCCAGTGGGAAGGGTCAGGAAGAGGATAATAAAGTTCAAAAAATTAACCAAAGAAAAGTATCATAAGGGACTACTATGAACAATTATATGCTAACAACTTTGTAACACAGAAAATGGATAAATTCCTAGAAACATATAACCTATCAAGACTGAATCATGCAGAAATAGAAAATCTTAATAGACTGATTACTAGTAAGGAGTAATAAAAAACCTCCCAACAAACAAAAGACCAGGACCAGATGGCTTGACTGGTGAATTCTACCAAACATTTAAAGAATTAATACCAATTCTTCCCAAACTCTTCCAAATATACAGAAAAGGGAACCCATCCAAACTCATTTGAGGTGGCCAGCATTACCCTGATACCAAAACTATACCAGGAATGCCACAAGTAAAGAAACTTACAGGCCAATATCCCTGATGAGCATAGATATTAAAATTCTCAATAAAAATTCACAATATATCAAAAGGATTACACACCATGATCAAGTGGGATTTATTATAGGGATGTAAGGATGATTGAATATTTGCTAATCAATGAACGTGATACATCACATTAATTTAGATACAGAAAAAGCATTTGACAAATTTCAACATCCATTTATGATAAAAAGTCTCAACAAAGTGAGTATAGAGGGAACATACCGCAACATAATAAAGGCCGTATATGACAAGCCTACAGCTAACATTATACTCAATGATGAAAAGTGAAATCTTTCCCTCTAAGGTCAGGAACAAGACAAGGATGCCCACTCTCGGCACTTTTATTCAACATAATATTGGAAGTCCCAGCCATAGCAATTAGATGAAACAAAAGGTGTCCAAGTTGGAAAGGAAGAAGTAAAACTCACTATTCACAGATGACATGACTATATATATTAAACACTAAAGACTCCACCAAAAAAACTTAGATCCAATGAATTAGGTAAAGTTGCAGATAAAAAAATCAATATACAAAAATCTGTTGAGTTCCTATACACTAATAACAAACCATCAGAGAAATAAAGCAATCCCATTTACAATTGCATTAAAAAAGAACAAAATACTTACAAATAAATTTAGTCAAGGAGGTGAAAGAAACTGAAGAAGACAAAATAAATACGAAGGCATTCCATGCTCACGGATTGGGAGCAAATGTTACTCAAAGCTATCTACAGCTCTAATGCAATCCCTGTTAAAATTCTAATGGGATTTTTCACAAAAATAGAACAAACCTGAAATTTATATGCAACCACAAAAGACTATAAAAATCCAAAGCAGTCTCTTAAGAAAAACAATGGTGGAGGCATCATGCTCCCTGATTTCAAACTGTATTACAGAGCTATGGTAATCAAAACAGTATGGTATTGGCATAAAAACAGACACAAAGATCACTGAAACAAAATAGCCCAGAAATAAACCCACCCATATATATGGTCAATTAATTTATGACAAGAGTCAATAATATACCAAGGGGAAAGGAAAATTTCTTCAATAAATGGTTTGGCAAAACTGGACATCCACACACAAATGAATGAAAATAGACCACTGTCTTACACTATACACAGTAACTCAAAATGGATTAAAGTCTTGAATGTAAGACCTGAAACCATAAAACTCCTAGAAGAAAAAATGGGATATTTAGCTCCTTTAATTAGTTTTTGCAAAATATTTTTCTTTTTTTTTCTTTTTTTTTTTTTTTGGATCTGACACCAAAAGCAAAGGCAACAAAAGCAAAAATAAACAAGTGGGATTGCATAAAACTAAAAAGCACAGCAAAAGATACCATCAACACAATGAAAAGGCAACCTACTGAATGGGAGAGAATATCTGCAAATCATATCTGATAAAGGGTTAATATCCCAAATAAATAACTTACACAACTCAAAAGTAAAAAAAAAAATCCAATTGAAAAATGAGAAGATCTGAATATTTTTCAAAAGAAGACACAGAGATGGTCAACAGATACATGAAAAGTAGTGCAACATCACTAATCAACAGGGAAATGCAAATCAAGACCACAATGAGATATCACCTCGCACCTATCAGAATGGCTATTATCAAAAAGACAGGAAATAACAAGTGTTGGTAAGGAAGCAGAGAAAAGGGAACCCTTGTGCACTGTTGGTGGAAATGTAAATTGGTGCAGCCACTATGAAAAACAGTATGGAGGCTCCTCAATTAAAAGCAGAACTACCATATGATCCATCAGTTCTACTTGTGGGTATTTATCTGAAGGAAACAAAAACACTAACTCAAAAAGGTATATGTGCCCCCATGTTAACAACAGCCAAGCTATAAAAACAACCTAAGTGCTCATTGATGGGTGAATAATGGCATATATATATAATTCAGCAATAAAAAGGAAATCTTGCCATTTATGAAAACATGTATGGATTTTGAGGGCATCATGCTAAGCAATATAAGTCAGACAGAGAAAGACAAATGATCTCACTTTTATGTGGAATCTTAAAAACACACACAAACCAAAACCGAACTCATAGATAAAGAGAACGGAATGGTGGTTACCAGTGGTGGGGGTGGGATGGGGTGGGGTGGGGGATTTGAATGGGTGAAGGGAGTCAAAATGTACAAAATTCCATTTATAAAATACATAAGTCATGGGGATGTAATGTACAGCATGGCAACTATAGTTAATACCACACTGCTTATTTGAAATCTGCTAAGAGTAGAACTTAAAAGTTCTCATTATAAGAAAAAAAAATTGTAACTATAGTAACATGTTAACTATCCTTACTATGGTGATCATTTTGCAATATATATAAATATCAAATCATTATGTTGTACACCTGAAACTAATATAGTGTATGTCAATTTAAAAAATGAGCGTGAAAAATAATTATGAAAACAATCTGCAGAATATTTAATTGAGTCACAATTCAGTTGCCACATTAAGAAAAAAAAACAAAAAGGGCCTGAGGGATGATCCTAGGGCAGGCAGGGATAATGGCTGCTGGGGCAGGGCTCTCCAAGGGGTCTTTTCCAAATGGGATCCAGAGATCCCAT